ACCCAGGCGCCCCAGCCATTAGTTTTATATTGAGCTTTGGATCAGCATTTCTCCACTTGTTTTCCACAACGCTTCTCTCTTTCAAGATGCTAAGAGTTCCTCTGTGAAGAAAGGGCTTTATGGTCAAATACATTTGGAAAGCACTGGCTTAAACTAAGTTACATAGGTGTGTTTACTGCAGGACTTTTCAGAGCCTTTAATAATCTACCTTTGGGTGCCAAGACACTCTGTGAAGGAGAGAGAAGACGCAGCATCAGCATCCTGACTTGGCAGAGGACTATCAATGAACACTTTATGGCACCACAGGTTGGGAGATACCGTTTTCCTTTTCCACGGGGCTTCATTGAAAGATCTCAGGAGAGTGAAATCAGAAATGTCTCATAGACCAGAGGCAGGGAAACATACATGGTTCCAAACTCCCGTCCTATCTTCTATCCACCAGTGTGGTGTCAAGCAGAGATGATCAAATCCAGCCTCCAAAATTCCCAAAGGGCTTGTTACAAATACAAACTCTGACAGCCTTGGAGTTGGCATGGCAACAGCCTCCCTGGTGACACAAGGCGGGGGTAGGGGAGTCGTGGAGGACTGGGACAGGGACTAGAGTTCCAAGCTAGCAGGTGAAAGGCCTGGGTTCAAGTCCCCACTCTGCTCCTGTCCTGTGTCAGTGAGTGACATGGACAGGGCATTTCCTTCTCTGGGCTTCCGCTGTCTTCTCTGCCAAAAGAGGCTAAATCAGACTTACTCTTTTTGCCTCTCAGAACGAGGCACGGAGCTTGGAAATATATACAGTGGACCCCAGGAAGGTATCACTCGTCACCATCTGTGGCAGATAAGGCCAGGTCCTTTCACGCAAAGGACTTGCAGCCCCCCAGGGAGGTGGGTTCTTGAGAGGAGCGCAGGATCATTTATAGAATAATGATGCTAGCTACCATGTTTAGATGACTTACTGTGTACCAGGCACTGCTTTCAGTGCTTGACGTAAGTTTACTTACGTATTCCTCACAACAAGCCCATTTTACAAGTGAGCAAATGAAGGCTTAAGTAACTTGCTAAAGTCACGAAGTAACTTGCTGAGAGCTGAGTGTGCTGGGAAGCTGAGAGGGATGCTCAGAAGGGGCCCCATCCCTCCCCCCTGTTCCCAGCCCCTCTGAAGCCTTGCACCGCCCTCAACATGAATTTTAACATATCTGTGAAACATCCCTACCAGCTTAATGTCCGCTTTGAGCATCTCCAACCTGGGATTTTGGGGGGGGCCCCAGAGGGCACTCTCCTGCCCCCATCTCTTGTTCCTACTTAATCATCTCAGGAGCTGTTATTTATTGAGAGAGCACATATTGTTTGGCTAGATGTTTGTGTTGGTTTTTAAAAAAGATTTTATTTATTTATCTGACAGAGACACAGCGAGAGAGGGAACACAAGCAGAGGGAATGGGAGAGGGAGAAGCAGGCTTCCCGCTGAGCAGGGAGCCCGATG